TAACATGAGTGAAACTCCGTCTCAAAAAAAAAAAAAAAAAGAAAAAAGAAAAAGAAGTAAGGTTGAAGTTGCAAATAATCAGGCTGGGTGCAGTGGCTCACGCCCGTAATCCCAACACTTTGGGAGGCCTACGTGGGTGGATCACAATGTCAGGAGTTCGAGACCAGCCTAGCCAATATGGTGAAATCCCATCTCTACTAAAAATACAAAAATTAGCGAGGTGTGGTGGCATGGAACTGTAGTCCCAGCTACTCGGGAGGCTGAGATGGCGAACTGCTTGAACAAGGGAGGAGAAGGTTGCAGTGAGCCAAGATAGCGCCACTGCACTCCAGCCTAAGCAACAGAGTGAGACTATGTCTCAAAAAAAAAAACAACAAAAAAAGAAATTGCAAATAATCTTGGGGCAACAATATACTTAAATACATTCACTCACTTTACCAGGCATGATACATACCCTGCCACACATCCTATCACTGCTCCTTCCCCTACCCGTGATTGACACTGTGTATTGGTCAGAGTAGAGTGTCCCACTCAGCCCATGACATGCCTCAAAACTGTCAACACAGGGTTCTTTAGACAGACACTACCAATCAATTAGAGTTTGGGAGGGTCCAGTCATGCTAAGACATACTTCATTGACACTATTACTCTCTGAAGAGCAAGGTTGGCTTAGAGAATGAGGGGGAGATTAAAGGAAGGGATAAAGGAGCAGCCATTGCTGATATGGCAGACACAAAGGGCACTAGGAGAGAAAGGTACAATTTCTCTAGCCTGATAAGTTTTCTAAGATGTCACCATGACCCAGAGAGGCACTGCTGAGGTTCCAAGTGAAAGGTTTGGCCCATGACCACACTGCTTCTTGACGTAGCTCCTCATTTTCACTGTCTTCACCTCTTCATCATCAGCGTTGACCCACAGCTCCATTCCAAAGTCCCCCATGTATAATTCCCTTGGTTCTGAGAGGAAATAGGGGTTAGGTTATCTCTAAGGTCTACTCCAGCTCCAGACTCTGGGCTCCATGTTGCTGACTTCAGGGTCCATTCTCCACTCAGCTTTCCCTTCTGGACTGACACTTCCACCCCAATAACTAGCTGACAATGAGCAAGCCCTGGGAACCCTCTCCACACACTGACCCCACAGGCTTCTGCCACTAGACACAGTCTGATCACTGCTGGGATGACACGGAGACTAAAATGGTGAGCCTCCGTATGTTGTCTTGATCCTCACGAGCCTGGACAAGACCATCCACAGAGTGACAGCCAAATACATTGATGTCAACTCAAAGTGACTTAGGGGTGGCTACATTTAATGAATCTTGAGTATAATTATCTCTCCTACAAATTAACTGTGTGTTTCCAAGCTTATCAAGTCTGTTTTCTGAACCTTGGTTTTCTGCTCTGATCAGTGAGGGGGGCTGAGCTACTGTGGAGAAACAAACCCCAAGGATCTGTAGAGAATGGTGGGCAGTTTTGCCTGCCCTTTGTTTTTACCAATTCTTACCAGATTCAAGAGAAGCTCTTCTCACAGTCAGGTAGGGCCAAGAAGAAGAGTCAGATGTGAATACCTCACATCACTCCTTATCCATCCATCCATTCATCAGTCCATCCGTCCATCCATTCACCATTGTTTTCTTTTTTTTTTTTTTTTTTTGGGGGGGCGGTGTTTTTCCCTTGGCTGGCGTGCAAGGGCGCGATCGCGGCTCACCGCAACCTCCGCCTCCTGGGTTCAGGCAATTCTCCTGCCTCAGCCTCCTGAGTAGCTGGGATTACAGGCACGCGCCACCATGCCCAGCTAATTTTTTGTAGTTTTAGTAGAGACGGGGTTTCACCGTGCTGACCAGGATGGTCTCAATCTCTTGACCTCGTGATCCACCCGCCTCGGCCTCCCAAAGTGCTGGGATTACAGGCGTGAGCCACCGCGCCCGGCCTTCACCATTGTTTTCATTCATTCTATATATACGTACATTATTCTCTACATTATTCATATGTAAATATGAATAGGATGTCAGGGGCACTGGGACGCAATAATAAACTAATCAGATGTCACCACCATCTTAGGGAGCTACAGTTTATTGTAGGTACAGACAATAAACAAGTGAGGTGACAAAATAATTACTAATTGTAAAGTTCCTGTGGAAACAAACAGGGAGGTAAGATAGATAATGGGCCGGTGCGCAGCTCCCCGCACCCCCGCCGCGGAGCTCAGCTGGGGAGGCGCGCGCGCAGCGGCTGCGCAGCTCGCAGTTCCGCGGGAGGTGGGCGGGCCCGGCCGGGCGGCGCGGGGCGGGAACCTGGTCCGCGCACTCTGCGGCCTAGCGCTCGCCCTCCCGCGGCGGTTGTAGGCGCCGCCTCCCCTTCTGTCCTTTGCGCGAGTCTGCGACCTGAAAAAGTGACTTTTCCTCAAGTGAGCTGCCTTCTGAGATGCCTCCTCCAGAAACAGGAGAATGTGTGGCTCTCCAGCGTGGAACTATTTCTGCAGGGTTTGTGGATGTTGAAGGCCCCAAACCTGCTCCTGATGTCACAGGCACATGACTGCAGTAAGGAGCATGGCTGTCACACTGGAGATTGAGACAGGGGCAGGCTCAGACACAGTCGGGGTTTGCACGATGCGGGTCCTTTTTCCAGAATTTGACATTGTAGCAGAAACAGAAAATGAGATTACGCATGAAATTGAGAAGGAGGGCGACTCAGAGGCCACAGGGAGCGTGGGGGAAGCTCTTGAGAAGGGACTGGATTCCATGGTGAAGCGCGAATCCCGGATAGACACAATTTCCCAGAAGCTTAACCCTCAACTACCCTGGGAACCAGAACAGATTCTCGGATAGTGGCAGAGGACTTGCTGCCATTTGGACTTCTGGTGAAAATGTCTTTCAAGAAAAGGGTATTCCAGACTGCCCCTGTGTTGCCAAGAGAATGTTTGAATTCCAGGCCATGCAAGCTGGCCCTGAATCGCCTAAAGGCCGCAGACCAGGCCGGATGGCTGACCGCAGCCTCCTGGCGGTCAGCGATCCGGCGATCCTTGTCCTGCGAAGAACACCGAAGCTTAGGGTAATTTGTAGGGATGCAAGATGTGACAGATGCTACTCAAGCACAACATCTTAATGTCTTAAAAAGGTTAATAATCTCTCATACCTTGCAATTCCATTTCTGGGACTTGCTACTAAGGAAATTTTTATCTTTTTGAAACGGAGTTTCGCTCTCATTGCCCAGGCTGCAGTGCAATGCCTCGATCTCAGCTCACGGCAACCTCTGCCTCCCGGGTTCAAGGGATTCTCCTGCCTCAGCCTCCCGAGTAGTCACCACACCTAGCTAATTTTGTATTTTTCCACAGAGACAGAGTTTCTCCACGTTGGTTAGGCTAGTCTTGAACTCCTGACCTCAGGTGATCTGCCCGCCTCGACCTCCCAAAGTGCTGGTATTACAGGCGTGGGCCACTACACCCGGCTTAGGAAATAATTATATCAAAATAGAAGTATAAAGATATTGGTTGAAGCATTGTTTACAATGTCTAAATATTAGTGAAACAAAACAAAAAAAAATGTCCAATGACGCGAAATTAAAGAGATTTTCGTACACCCACACGAAGAAGGAAAAACATAAGCAACCTTCTTTGGACAGATGGGACTGTGCAACGCCTCTCTACAAAGATGACATGTAGGCTGACATCTAAAAAATGGTGTTTAGGAAACAGCCACGCAAACGGGCAAGAGGAAGCAAGTAGGAAAGGTTTAGGCCAGAAGGAATTAAGCGCCTAAGAAGTTAAACAAAATCCAGTGGGGCTGGAGCAAAGGAAGCCGGGGAAAGTGACTGATATAGTTTGAATATTTGTCCCCTCTCCTGTTGAGATGTAATCTCCACTGTGGGAGTTGGGGCCTGCTGGGAGGTGTTTTGATCATGGGGGCAGATCCCAAATGAATGGCTTGGCCCATCCTCTTGATGATGAGTGAGCTCTGGCTCTGAGTTCACAGGAGATCGAATTGTTTAAAAACGTGTGTGCTATTGTAAACAGTGCTGCAATGAACATTCGTGTGCATGTGTCCTTATAGTAGAACGATTTATAATCCTTTGGATATATACCCAGTAATGGGATTGCTGGGTCAAATGTTATTTCTATTTCTAGATCCTTGAGGAATCGCCACACTGTCTTCCACAATGGTTGAACTAATTTACACTCCCACCACCAGTGTAAAACTGTTCCTTTTTCTCCACATCCTCTCCAGCATCTGTTGTCTCCAGATTTTTTAATGATCACCATTCTAACTGGCATTAGATGGTATCTCAAGAACATGTGGACACAAGGAGGGGAGCACTACACACCGGGATCTGTTAGGGGGAAATGGGGGAGGGACGGGGGGGG